AGGACCATTAGGCCAAAGCTCACACTTCAACAAAACGGGAAGATATAGCTACAGGCTGAATATACGGGGTATACGGTTTTTTCATAGACAACTGTATGGAACCTTTAGAAGAAGAATTTGAAAAAGGAACTGCCATAGAGTCCTTTCGCCAGAATATAAAATAACTATGAAGTCCCTACAGTCGAATTGGAATTATCGCCTTGAAACTCAAAAGTAATGAGCTTGTATCTGCTTCCTACCCCCCCCCCCTAATGGAGATGTAGGCTTACGCCATTCTCATGAACACGTTCCTTCCTCCTCAATCTTTGAAGGAAGTGTGTCTTATTGCTACATTTTCACTGTAGAGGAATTCAGACTTCGGAAGGAGGGAGGGGGGGGGTGTACACGCCCTGGGGACAAATTTCGCAGGCCAAGGCCTACCCGGATGGACGCTTAGGCCAATACTAATCTCATGTACACTCCTTCTTCAAGGAAACGGGATGGAAAATAAATAGCTGTTGGCTTGCATACTATAGATACAGTTCGACATTGGCGGTACTTGCCCTAATGGGAATGATTCAGCCAGCTAATATCCAACCCTTGGATGATTGCTTACTCATACATTGATCTTTAATATTAGCCATCTTATTGTTAAAACTCTCAAGTGGCTTATGTGGTTATATGGCTGCTATTACTCCTACTTTTTGGAGATTGATATGCTATCAAGAGTGCCTCGACCATAGACAGGAATTGAATATACCAATGGAACAATAAATGACACACTTACAATTGTTAATTCGGGATCCTTCGGCTCCAAAGGACATGGCGTCATTATGAATATGTTCTTTGACACCTTTACTTTAAAGGTGCGAGAATTGAACCCATGAACAAAGGATTTTGACCACATTAGTATGGGTGAGCATCGAAAACGGATGCCTTAGATCGCAGAGCGCCGAAGGCGCGTNTGACACCTTTACTTTAAAGGTGCGAGAATTGAACCCATGAACAAAGGATTTTGACCACATTAGTATGGGTGAGCATCGAAAACGGATGCCTTAGATCGCAGAGCGCCGAAGGCGCGTCCATAGCGAGTTTGTTTGCCCGAAGGGCAAACAAACTCGCTAGTATTAGATACCAGCTAGTATTAGATACTCGCTAGTATTAGATACCAGCGCTTTCGGCTCAATAATTTCAGCTCAGTAATATCATGTCATTATACGTGTGGCAAGTTTCACCTTTCCATTTTTTTCCAATTCGCCACGACAAATATTTTTTTCAAAACATCGCTCCTCGAAAAATTCCCCCAGGGGATGTATCGAGACTTAACATTTTTATTTAACTCCTTGTCTCAGTAGTCACATTCATACAAAGTTTCAGCTTTCCATGTCCAATGGTTTCACTAATGCCAACAAAATATGTGAAAACATCTCCCTTTGAAATTCATGACCCCAGGATATTTCATTCCAAAGACTGAATTTTTCTGCACGCATCATCCTGGTAGGTAATTATGTACCAAGTTTCATCTTTCCACACTAACTCAATACACCAGGACAAAAGAACACTTGAAAACGTTGGCCCCCAAAAATCTACCCCCAGGGCATGGATATAAAATGTTGCATTTTTCCTGAACTCATCGTATTGGTCCATGCCACGTTTCAGCTTTCCATGTCTCTCCGTTTTATTCAAATCACGGGACTTGGAAATTCAAGAGAAGCCAAAAATAGGATTGGATTAGCCGGGAATTGAACCCAGGCCTCACAATTACCGGTCCGATGTGCTACCACTACACCACCGAAACGGTGTTGTACAGTGGCATCTCTCGATGATATCCTCATCCATTGCGATATATATTTAAAAAAAACTTCTCCCCCCAAAATGTGTACCCCTAGGGCATATACCTCCAAAGTGGGATTTTTTCTGAACTCTGGAACCCAAAAGTTTCATGTGCACCAAGTTTCAGATTTCTAACCTTCCTGGAACATGGTTAGAATTAGCGTCAGTCAGTCAGTCAGTCAGTCAGTCACGATCGTCTATATAGTTCTAAAATGCTACGTCGTCAATCGCAGTTCATGAATTAGTAGCGAAGTCAGCAATTAACATTCTGAGCCACTCTGCTACAACTAGAACTTCTTGAAAAAGTGACATGCAGAATGATTATCTCATTTTTGAGAGTAGAGAATAGTCATAAGCAAAAAAGCCTTGATGAAGTCCTAGTGATATGAAAGCAAAGTGAAAGACAAGGTCATGACACACATAACTTACTAGCGAGTTTGTTTGCCTTTCGTTCAAACACGCTCGCTATGGTCGCGCCTTCGGCGCTCCATTACCTTGGAGAGTGATTAATTCATTTATTATTTGCGAAATGCCCAACACGTATTTAAAGTATTGAATACGTCCCTGACATATGGGGACGAACGGCTTGATTTTAATCAAAATCTTTACTTCTATTATGTCTGGTGTGCCTAACTGTAAATCTTTTCATGTGTCCCTTTTTGTAAGGGTGAAGAATTCATTTTGCTATAAATCCCTCCTATAATCTACGCTAATGGGCCATATTTCAAAATTAGAATTTTTCCTGTACTCAGCCATCAAACAGGTACTTCTGAGGGAAGTTTAACTTTTCTGTCTTTGTATCGTTAGATCAATAAATAAATTAGGAAAATGGGACTTAATAAAAGTGCCCTGATGGGATTCAACGAAATTTTTTTTCTTCTGAAATGTAGTCAGGGAACTCCATGCCACCCACTTTCAGCCTTATACATTTCCCCCTTTTTACTGGCGGTAAAAATATATTTGGAAAAGGAACTCACCCAAAAACTATGCTCTGAAGAGACGCACAACAAAAATTGAATTTTTCCCTAAATCAACATCACGTCCTTTATGCGTGCGCCAGCTACTTTTCAATTTCTGCCCGATTCGCTAGGATAAGAAAAACTATTTGAAAACGTTACGTCCCAATAAATATGACCCTCAACAATATTTTGAAATTTGATGTTTCACATTTCTTGGTAAGTGCGTCAGCGGTCGCGTTCTTGCCAAGTTTCAGCTTTCCATTTGGCTCCGCTTGATTGAAGGAAAGAAAAATATTAGAAAATATGTTCCCCGAAAAGGTGTGCCCCTATGGCATGTATCACCAAAGTATAATTTTTCCTGAACTCAGCACGCGAATAGCTACTTATGTCAGTCAGCTACTCACGATATTCTATATCTAATAAAAATATATATTTTTAGCTGTCCATTAGGTACTTTTTTGACAAGTTTAAACTTTTTAGCGCACTCTGTCTTGCTGGATCAGCAAATTCTGGAAAATACACCTTTTGCAAAATATGTGTCCTGAGATATTTTAAACGAAAAAGTACCTTTTTCTTTAAAGGCCAAATCCATTCTCAATGAACTACATGTCCACAAAGCTTCAATATTATACGTTTGCCCTTTTCGCTGGTGAAAAAAAAACAGGCTTAGAATAGTCGATCCACCGAAAAGCTGCCCGGAGGGGATGCACCATTAAGGCTGAATACTCCCGCATCTCAAAATCATGTCATTTATACGTGTGAAAAGGTTCTCCTTTCCATTTCTGTACAATTTGCCACGACAATTTCTTTTTTCAAAATATCGCCCATCGAAAAAATTTCCCCAGGAGATATATCGAGATTCAACATTTTCCTTTAATTCCTTGTTTAAGTAGTCACATGCATGCAAAGTTTCAGCTTTCCATGCTCAACAGTTAAACTGACCTCCCTTTGAAATTTGTTCCTCCAGGGCATTTACATACGAAGTTTGAACTTTTCTGCACCATCCCAATAGGTAGTTATGTACCAAGTTTCATCTTTCCACACTAGCTCAATACGCCAGGACACAATATCGTGACTGACTGACTGACGCGAATTCTAACCATGTTCGAGAAAGGTTAGTGATCTGAAACTTGGAACAGATGCAACTTTTGGGATGCAGAGTACAGAAAAAATCCGACTTCGAAATTCCATGCCCTGGGGGTACACTTTTTGGGGGAAACGTTTTCCTTAAATAATATGTTGACAGTTGAGAATGGCATTCAGAGAGGCAACTGGATGTCCTGGGTTCGGTGGGGTAGTAGTAGCATAACTGACCGGCAATCAGGAGATCTGGGTTTAATTCCCGGCCATTCCTTGGCTCCCTTTTGCCTTCATTTGCCTTCCATGTCCCGTTATTCATTCCCCCTCCGTAGCATTATTTTTGCTTGAGTAACACGGAGAAACATTGAAAGCTGAAACTTTGCATGAATGTGACTACTGAGACAAGGAGTTAAATAAAAATATCAAGTCTCGATATGTCCCCTGGGGGAAATTTCTCGAGGAGCGATGTTTTGAAAAAAATATTTGTCGTGGCGAATTGGACAGAAATGTAAAGGTGAAACTTGGCACCCGCATGAGTGACGTGATATTATTGAGCTAAGGCTGTATTCAGCTCCCATGCTGCATCTCCTCTGGGCATTGATTTTGGGTGGGTCGGCTTTTCCAAACATGGTTTTTCACCACCGAAAAGGGCAAACGGATAAGGTTGAAACTTTGTGGGCATGTAGTTCTCTGAGGATTGATTTCGGCAAAAAAAAAAATTTTCTCGATTAAAACGCCCGAGAGCACATATATTGCAAAAGGCGTATTTTCTCGATACAGCAAAATAGAGGGCGCTAGAAAGTTTAAATTTGCAAAAAGAGAACCTGATGGAGAGGTGACTAAAGGAAAAATTCTACTTTGGTGATACATGCCATTCTGGCACACCATTTCGAGGAACCTATTTTCAAATAATTCTCTTTGCTTCAATCAAACGGAGACACATGGAATGCTGAAACTTGACAAGAACGTGACTTCTGACACACTGAGCTCAGGAAAAATATCAAATTTCCAAAATATTGGAATTATTGGCGGGGATATTTCTTTGGGACGTTGTTTTCAAATAATTTTTTAATATCCTAGCGAATCGGGCAGAAATAGCAGAGTAGCTGGCGCACGCATAACGGAAGTGATGTTGATTTAAGGAAAAATTCAAATTTTGTTGTGCGTTTCCCCAGACCACAGCTTTTGGGTGGGTCGCTTTTCCAAATACTTTTTTTCCACCAGCAAACAGAGGAAACGTATGAGGCTGAAACTCGGTGGCATGGAGTTCCCTGAGCCTACATTTCAAAAGGAAAAAAGAAAAATCGTTAGAACTCATCAGTGCACTTATTTTCAGTCATATTTTCCTGAATTTTTTTTTTGATCCAGCGAAACCGAGACAAAAAATTTAAGCTTCTCTCAGAAGTACCTGTTTGATGGCTGAATACAGGAAAAATCCAACTATTGAAATATGTCCCCTTAGCGTAGATTAGAGGAGGGAAGTATTTCAAAATGTATTCTCCACCCTGACAAAAAGAGACAAGAAAAAAGATTCAAGTTAGGCACATTTGAAATATTAGAAGTAATGATTTTGATGAAAATGAAGACTTTCGTCCCCATATGTCACGTATTTCAGTGGGGACATACGTTAAATACGTGGTTGCCATTTCGCAAATAACAAATGAGTTAATCACTATCCAAGGTAATGGAGCGCCGAAGGCGCGACCATACCGAGTTTGTTTGCCCGAAAGGCAAACAAACTCGCAAGTATAACATATTTTAGATTGACGTAAACATGCTGCTTTGTTGCTTCCCGAGAGAGTGAAGGAAAAACTAAAAAACTGCCGTTATTTCTGCCATGTTACCAACGTAACAATTTGGATGTCATTGAAGAATTCACTAACCTATGTCAAGAATCTTCAAGTTCGGTATTTTCCAGTTATTTTCAAGTGCAGATAGTTTATTGCCTTCTACGACGAGCAGCTCGAGGCTGGGGCTTTCGAGGGCTGGTAAGGTGGCCAAGATGTTCCCGTGTAGGTCGAGCTCGACAAGACTAGTCAATTCGAAAAGGATTTCCCAGGGAAATTCCTCAATCCTGCTACTCGTGATGCTCAGATGTTGGAGTCGGTCCTTTGAAGTTAAGAGGGACGAAGGATGGACGACGCTCACGGCGGTATTCCAAACATAAATCTTCTCAAAGGTGATGTTGCCGAACATCGATTCAGGAAACTCTTGTATTGCCTCATTGTTAACCAGCCGGAATTCACTGCAAGCATAGGAATTACGTAATTCCTGAGTGTAATTGCTTAAATGATCCATTGGTCCTCTAGTCTTAATGGGACTTGGAAATACACAACTTTCGAAGCATTTCTATATAAATATAAAGAGGTACCCAATAAATGCCTATTTGATGAATGGGAAAACAGTGGGATCGATGAGAACTACCTTCCCGATTGGATAGGAGTTTTCTGGGCTTCGAGGCCTTAGTGATGGACTGGGTAAAATATAAGACCAGCATATTTCATTTGGTAGGTGCTGGAGAAGAACCCACCAAAAGCATTTACGTCAATTGTTGGCCGAAAATAATATTTGGGTGTATGGTTTGATAAGTACTCAACCCCTATTTGTGGGTTTTAATATGGGCAACAATGCATCAATGTTGGGTGCAGAAAGGCCTAACCTATTATTTACCATCACAAACACTAGAAAACATATTTAAAAAAAACGTGTATGGGCGCTTCTTGGCGAACGCGATGCATTATTGGGCATTCCCTTATGTGCTTTCAGGTGTTCCTGGAAGCAAAAATATTTTCAACGTAGACACCATGGGACCATTCACTCTAAGAATAAGAAAATCCGGAGAAAATGCAAACAACTGAATTAATATGAAAATTATAATCAACAATATGATTAAAGCGATTTTACATCGCTTAGGTAGAAGTGAGACCGAATTTCACAATGTATAACTAAATTACGGGAATATAATGATTCATTTGAAAAAAAAAATTGAAAGGCGGATCAGTTAATATCCAATGTGAGTTTTCTTATGGTTTATTTAGGCATTTCTTTGGTCTTCCTTCAAGAATGAGGCACCTTTTGGGTGGGATTGGATATTGCGATAACTTTTCAATTTCAATTTTTCTCAATCAGTGCCTCGTCTTGCCGATATTAATTTCAAGACATCTTTACTTTTCTGTACGGAATATATCAATTGATGCCTAGTGCAGGTTTATTGAAAGAATTTGTGCAGTACATGAAATGTATGTATTAGTTGATTTGCACGAATTGTGGTCAAAAAGCATATAACTACTTAAACGTGAGGTCTACAAGAGACGGAGCGATAATAAAATACTGCATAAAACCATGGTTGAGTGAGGAATGGGCTAGCTGGAAATATCACTTCAGACACCGGTGTAATGCACCAAATTACGCTTAACTGATAATATTGATACATGTATATGATTTCTTAGCAGATGGACTCATTATATCAATAGATAGGTTCAAAGGAGACAATCTCCATTTTATTAATGGCATTCTGCTTTTAGAAGATACTAGGATATTTAGATCCAGTTAAACCCAAATGGCTAAATAAGCACATCATATAACTTACGTGAGGTTTGTAAATGACCAATCGGCGTCATTAAAGGCAGAGGAAATCTCGTCGGTCGACGTTGCTCTGGAACAGTCCACGGTCACAGAGTAGGAGGTTTCGTCGTGAGAACAGGTGCAAGGGGAAGTTTGATCGGGATCAGGACAAAAGCCTTGTCCTTTGGTCCCAGAAACAAAGGCAAGGGAGAGGAGAAATACGGGTGAGAGGTAGTTGAGCTGCATTATGCTGCTTAAAGAGTGGGAAGAGGTTTCAGGACAAGACAAGGTAGGCATGAATCGAGAAGTTAGGGATGCTTTTCTAGGGACATTTTGTAGATATATATATATATATATATATATATTTCAGGGTGGGAATTCTAGCACATGGTTAAAATCAGGATGGAGATAAGAAGAGAGCATTATTGCGAAAGAAGTACCCTATGTGACTTAACAGATGGTCAAGTCGAAATCCCATGTCTCATCGAAGAAGTCGGATACTCACTGGAATTTCCCATTAGTCTTGGAGGCCAGAATCATGGAACCTGTCAACAATGATATAAATCAAAACGAATTCTAGTGTCTTTCTTGTCACGATTGGAAGGATACTAGGATATCGTCTAACATTGACTGCTGAGTACTTGAACATAATTCTGCAACAGCAACAAAAAAGAATATGAAGCAAAAGCCGGCGGGACCTCGGTAAGAAATGGTTATAAATGCATCTTTGGGACATAGCAGTAGCGGTTGGCAGCAATAGCAGAAGTTCCACTTCAATGATAGCCATAACATGTTTTTCCTAAAAATAATGAATTCCAGGGTTCTTCTTGAATGAAGTCAGCCTTCAATATGACTTCCCCGACTCACAATACCCATGGTTTCTTCAACTGAGTTATTAATTGAAATGCAGGGTGTCCTAAAAGGTATAGACACATTTCAAAGTTATTATCTGTCTAAATTATGCCTCAAATAAAAGTTTAAAACAGTAAAATGAAGTGCTACTCAGACATCATTCAACCCGCTAATGCAAATCTTTTGCGATTTTGTAAGTGATGGTTCCCTCCTCTTGAAAAAGATCATCTAATATATATAGACGATCGTGACTGACTGACGCTAATTCTAACCATGTTCTAGAAGGGTTAGAAATCTGAAACTTGGTACACATGTACCTTTTGGGATGCAGAGTTCAGAAAAAATCCGACGTTGGAGGTACATGCCCTGGGGGTTCAAATTTTGGGGGGAAACCTTTTCCTTAAATATATTTAGTGACAGATGAGCAGGGCATTCAGAGAGTCAAATGGTTATGCTGGGTTAGGTGGTGCAGTAGTAGCACCTCTGACTGGCAATCAGAAGGTCCGGGTTCAATTCCCGGCCATTTCTTGGCTTTCTTCTGGCTTTTCTTGTCTTCCATGTCCCGTTAATCATTCCCCCACCATAACATTATTTTTGCTTAAGCAAAACGGAGAGACACGTAAAGCTAAATCTTGGCATGGACATGCCTACCGAGACTATGAGTTCAGGAAAAATGAAAAATTTTAGATCCATGCGCTAGGGGCATATTTTTGTGAGCCGACATTTTCAAGTGTTTTTTTTTGTCTTGGCGTATTAAGCTAGTGTGGAAAGACGAAACTTGGTACATAACTACCTATTGGGATGCTGCAGAAAACTTCAGCCTTTAGAAGTAAATGCCCTGCGTGATAAATGAAATATAATGAAATAAATGCCCCATTTCGTGATGAACTTCAGCCACATCGAAATTTTGCCTTGCATGTCCTATTGTGGGAATATAGTGGCTTTTGAGCTTAAAGCCCGAATACACAAACCTCATTCAGGGGAGAAAACGGGGCTTTTAGCGAAGGAGCTCTTTTTCTCCCATAGGAATCCAGAATTAAAGGACTGTTAAATATATATAGTTAACAGTCGGATCTCATATTGGCGATACGTGTTGCACCACCAACGCACCAAACGGAATACAATCACCGTATGAAGCTGGACTCGAAGAATGAAGTAAGCGGTTACATGGGAATCCCTTCGAGACGCACGAGTCACTCGCATTGGTCGGAGGGAAGGTGAAGTGTCGAAGAGGCCATGCGCTCAGGCGGTTGCGTGCGAATCCCTCGACTGTCAATGCATTGCCCCGAGGGTTCATTGGGGGAGGGAGGAGGGAGGGGGAGGGGCAAGGGGGGTCGGAGAGATGGGGGTAAATTCCTGCGCATGTGATGACGTCAGTGAAACGTTCCACTATAAAAGCGGACGCTTTGGCCCTGACATTTCACTACCTCCCTGGCTAAAGCCAAGACAGGTCATACGCACTCTTTCTGTCGTCTCTAACTCATAATTCCATCTACTTGCGGCTGTCTGAGCCAGCATTGACAGCATTGTATATACATTGCTCATCTATTCGTTGATTTCGTTCATATTCTTCGGTTCCTTACATTCATTCTCTTCATAGCATTTGTTAGTTATGAAAGGCAGTGGCAAGGTTTGCATTATCGCATCCTGTAAAAATACTTATGGGAATCGAAATGCCGAAAATTAGATATTCTTTCGTGTGCTCGCATCTCTTCTCAGATTCATATTATTGTGGAAATGCTATTAGGTGCTTGAAAAAAGATGCTGTTCCAACAGAGAATTTAGTTTTTAAACCAACGCCTTCTCCCAAATTCACCTTAGACGGTTCATTTCAACGCACGGAGGACCAGCAGGTCTCCTCATCTCTTGCGAAAGAAAACAAATCATCGCAACATAAAATCATCGCAACAGAAGACGGTTTAGAGGACGATGTAGACAAAGAATCATCGGATCAGTCTTCATTTCAGTCCGACCAGGCCATTCCTCAAAAGGATGAGAGCATGTGGAGGATTTCACAGAGGATGGCGGACTTATATATTATACGCCAAACGATGAGGTAGCCACCACTGTGAACATGGAGAAGGATTCCATAATGTAGCTAGTTTTGTAGCTTTCAAGCTTTATGGGAAGGTCCTGGATCTCGGTACTTCTGTTACTAACGATAATGTTATAAAAGGTCTGTTTGAACCTCTTCGGAACATATACCAAAATCGTATACCATCCATTGGCTATGCTATGCTCCAAGTGTGTTGCAATTACCCCTTTAACTGCCAACTTCTTGTACAGGGTTTTTTTGCTCCCGTGCAGTTATTACCGCAGGGTGTACCAAGTGCCATTAAATGCTCAGAAGATGACAGAGAACTTTTTTTGTCTTACCTGGAACACATACATGTTGACAGCATGAAAACTTTGAGCAATTCCATTTGTGTATACATGTCAATAGCCGGGAGGGAATTTCTATCACTGACTCTATCTCATGTCTGTGGCAGATGAATGGTTAACGGAGTCGTAAACAAAGTCTGGTACTCATCACCATGGCCATTATTGAGAAGAAAGATGTTGTCAATGACATTCTTTAATGGCACATTTTGTCCTTGAAGGAGTCCTGCAGCATGATAGAGTGAATAACATATGAAATAGAAAGCTTTCTTTTGTTTTGACATCCGTGCCTAAAATAAAAATATACCATGGCAAGTGACTCTGGCCAATGCACTTATACACTTACACTCTGCGAATCTTGCAGAATCCTTTGGATCCTTCTTAAAACAGCTTCCTCTTCATGAGGTATATTGGCATGCTGGTACCTGTTTGGGAGGGGCATAGTTCCTGATCAGAATCTATGGATCACAGAAGGTGCAGGGGGTTGTAATTGATTTCGACCTGAAATCCTGTAAAGGAAAGGAATGCATTGGTGACACAGCCAATGCATGCCTGAGTGGCCTCACATCGCCCTCATTATCCTAATATATTAATAGTTACTGACAGAAATTCGGTACTACAACGACTAATTGAAAATTGCATTAATTTTTCATTACATTAAGCTAACCTTGGTTTCAACACAGGCAGGTGATATAATTTAACATTTTTCAGATGCAGAATTCTCCTAGAAGGTATGGAGTTCAAGAACATGTTCAAATGCAGCCACTGAGAATACCCGTATATGGAGGAAAAGACAAATCAACTTCAGACATAGCGAGCTTTGAGCAAAAGTGAGAGAGTGGAAAAGCCACTTCAACTTTAGGTGGAAAGAGAAAATGCAAGCGAAATAAAAATCAGATTTGTATATCCCTGATGGATATATGGCATATTGGCAAGGTTTTGATATCCTAAAATATAATATGATACCATCCCTCATTCCTTTAGAAAAAGAAAAAGTAGTTGTCTTATTTACTTTCCTTTCTCTCACTGACTGTTGCTAATGTTACTCTTTCTCTAGAAACTTTCAAGAACTCATCCAGGAGCTGAACTCGAACTTACGAATACAAACTTGAAGTTGCAATCCTCAAGCTAAGGTATGTAGGTGCCTTATCAAGGACATTGCTTCACAGAACAGTACAGGGGACTTGTGGACGTTGGAGTAAGAGCCAAGGGGGTCGCAGAGCGCGCAACATATACAGTACATAACATATGGGTGAAACACTTTTATCATATTTTAAATGTCGACAGCAAGCAATTATTGGGATTTAGCTGTAACAGTAACACTGCAATGTCTTCAAACTCTTGAAACGTATTACTGCCTTTCATTATGTCTTGGTGCCATTTGGTAGCTTATTTTTGACTAGGTCTTTACTGCTACACATTCCTGTACAACTTGGCACGTTAGTGACATGCTGGTGAGGATTGATGGAATGAAACCGGTGAATAAATTTCAGGGAAGATTCAATATGTGGCACGAGCTTGTTCACTTTGGCTTTGAGGATTCTCTAAGGTCATTTTCCTGTACTTACCGCCCCTTTTCTTCAGCTTCAGAAGTGTTCCAGCCCTTATCCCACTCTCACCCTGTCCCAAGTGTCATAATGAGTTCAAGTGGGTTCAACACATTCCGTGTTGTTGGCACCTTATGGGAGTGCTTATGGCAGAGGCCTGGTGACTCATTAGAAAATGCTTATCTTTTAAAGAGGTTCATCTCCTAGACATCATTACAATGGGAAGTCAATTGAAATATCAAGGAATTCATGTTGGATCCTGAAATTGCAAAACATTTAACTACCTTGAGGTATATCTCCCCCCCCCCCACATTTCCCCCATTAAAACTTAGATTCCCTGTGTCATACATGTGCCTCAAGGAGTGGAGAGGACATATTAATGCTTGCTGACATGAACTACAACTCACTGCATTCCCCCAGCCAAAATTCCGAACCAAAGTTGAGCTAATGATACCCAAGTCACTGCAGTTGAAGGAAATCGTCTGTCACCCTACTCGTATCACTACATCCTCAGCCACACTTCTGTATCACATTCATTGATATTGTTGGACTGGCTTTGCAATTATGGTGTCATTCCATAGTGCATTGGCAACCACTTCCTCATCTTTGCTACTCATAACTGCTATTATCATTTATGTATTATGTTCCCCTGTGTGGAGGGTGTGAAGGTATGCCTTTGACTAGCAACATTCTAGTAAAAATGTATTCTGTTCCCATGTATAATCCGCTGCCTGGTGGAAAAAGGGGAAGGCCACTTGGGCCGATAAAATGAAAAATACAACTATCTATGTTTTGACAAGGAGGAATGAGATACCCATATAACAGAGTGTATGTTACCTGTGTGATGGTCAAATTGCATACCCAGCAAAGAAAAGAGATACAAAAATGGGTTACTGCCACTTCACTACTGCACACCTCTATGTGCCATCCATTTGGAATGCCTGACGTATTTGGGTTAATCAACCTCCATATGCTGCCATTGCCACCATCAGTCCATGTAAAGTAAAACGTCTCTCATGCCTCAGGATGCCCAGAAACAATCCATGAATCACCTCAGGAATCAAGACAGCTCATCAGAAATAAGCATTACATTTATCGTAAAGCACCTTCAAGCCTCTCCTCTGATGACAGGAACATATTCCAACTATATCATGTCAAAGTTAGGTCTGCCATCTCTGTAGCCAAATCTGAGTTGTGTGCCCCCCTCTTGTAACCCCCAGGCCTATATTTGCTGCACATTGCCATTCCAAAACTGTCCTAACTATGATTGAATTCATCATGCCACCATTAGATAATGCCATTTCCTACCAAGTAATAAGGGACTCGAGAACAAATGTCCTCCTAAATCCCAATTTAACCAGTTCCTGGAAGGCCCACTCCTGCTGTACTGCAATTATCAAATTTACAGCCCACATATTCTCTCAGCAGGACTACACTCTCCTCATTGGACCTGTCGTCATAGACTTCGCAAAGGCCTTTCACACGATGAACCATGGCATCCTCCTGTCTTCGTTGAAGCAACAGTATTGCTGTGCACCTGACACCCTCCAATTCTTTTCTTCCTCCTGTCATCTTGGAAGCAATTCATTTTAAGTTCTGTTAGGATGGAATCTTCTCTCCTCGCCCTCCAGCCTTTCAGAGTTCCTCGATGATACATGCTTGGCCTTCTGTTCTTCCTACTGCACATAAATGACCTATCCCTTCCTCTTAAACAATGCCTGAAATGGTATGCTGATGACACAAGAATGCATTACTCCGGAAAGAACATCTTTGATGAACTGCAGTAAGACCATCACAACCTTGGTGTCTGGACTGGTCCAAACAAAGTGTCTCTCAATGCTTCTAAAACAGAATAAGCTCTTTGCTTATAAGGTCCATATATCATGCCAAACCTTTATCTTGGACGTGACGATTCACCTTTACAATCTTTCCTTGCTTTTTAATTCCTTGGCATCACTATTATCTCTCTCAAACACCACTAACTGTACCAATGTAATCAATATGGTGCATTCCTATCTGTACCTCTTCAAATATGTCTTCCCATACATTA